TTTGTTTGCCCATGTCCGGGAATCTCATGTGCATGCAACCCTTCTGCGCAGTTCCGGCCTGGAGCTGAGGTTCTGCAGGAATGGCCGTTTGAGTTTAGGTGGTTAGGGTCTAGGGTTTAGGCTTTGTGCTAAGGTTGGGGTTTAGTGTTCAGGGTTTCGGGTTTATGTTGCGAAGTGCTTGTGATGCTTGTCTGCTTGACCTACCCTACCCTGCCACCCATCAAAACAAAAGGACTTGGACTGCAACACTACATATAAATCACCTGTACCATGGTTCTTGCACCTGCTAAGTGCACAGAAGGCTGATCTCGCCTTCGCGTCATCATTCGTGTCCGGGGACGCTCCTTTGCTGGAGCGCTGTCGAACGTAGAGGTGGCCGACGCCAGTTGCCAGAACAGCAACGCAAAACCTCGGTCAGAACTTCAAGCCGCGATCCCTGACCCTAAACCGCACGCTAGTCAACCCGAAAACACTGCAACCCTAAACCTTAAAGTCCAAAAAACACAGATCCTTAGGAAGGTATTCGTGCCGTGGCAAGTCGCAGCATAACGAGCGCCACAGCTACGAAGATCCAGAAGAAGAAGAAGTCTTCCGATGTCACCTGCACCACATCTTTCGCAAGTGAAACAGGTTTTGGGTTTATCAGCCATTGAGTTCCCCGGAATCAGTGAATCAGTGCTCTTCAGAGTCAAACAAAACGAAGAGCAACCGTCGGCAGCCTGCGCCTTCCCGTCCGTGGTGGGTAGGAAGCTGTTGGTCGAAGAAACATCAAGCCGGGTCGTCGTCTGCAACACATGCAGCAGGGTTTTTATTACTGTGCCGCTTTGGTGAGTGTAGATAGGGGTCCTTTTAGAAGTTGGTGAGCGTATGTTTTGGGTGCGAGTATGCTTTGGGTGCAATTTTCGGGATATTAGTAATGTCTAGTAATAAAAACCATACTTCACATGCGTTCGAAGTGTAGCGCTTGAGATCTCCGCAGGGTCAACGCTCGCAAATCTACTACACCAAAATTGGGAACATGCATCGCGCCCGACAGGTGCATCTGGAAGACGCGCTGATTCTCCCGGGGCTTCAGCTGCAAATTGACATGGCTTCGGCAACTCCGATATGGCGATAACAAGAGCTGAAAGCTTCAGCCTTGGGTCTTTGGGCTCCGGATTTGGGGATTTTACATAGATGATCATGGGACTTTGGTGGACTTAGGAAGTAGGTTCTATGTCATATGTAAGGGTTTTTTCTTGGCGCCATATAAGGTACTTCCAACCCCCTTACCAAGCCCCCTGAGCCTTAAGTACCCAGCCCTCGGTTCCAGCGACCTCGCCACCACCGAGCTGGATCCTCGCGATGTCGAGGTGGACCCCGACCTCACCGGCACATGTCGCACGAGCTTCTAGCAGCTTTTTGGCTGTGCGATGTACGTTTACGACGTCTGAATGCGGAGAACGCGCCAGTCCATGCAGGGAACATCTGCTGCAGAGCTAGTGGTGTAAGAGTTCAAGAGCTTGAGCCTCCACACAAACCTTCAACTACAGGCCACCCCGTTGGAGCTTGAGAATGGCACTTGGTCATCCAGTTCACCGATGAGGCTGAGGGCGTCCATCGTATAGCGCTTGCCTTGCTGTGCCTTCGAGGTCGTTTCCATCCAGCTTTACGGTTCATGGGGTGTAATGTGTTCATCTTAGCGCTTCAGGGCTTACGTTTTACGGTTTAGGGTTCTAGCTATTCCCCCACTTCCATTTCAGCGCCTGCATCCGGATGATTGCAGCGAACTCCTTCGGGCCCAAAACACCAGAACCTCACCAGGCAGGCGGCACAGTTGTGCTCCGCTGGGCCCTTTTGACCAGGGGGTTTAGGCTTAGGGTTCAAGGCTGTTTTTGCAAACGAGGTCCCGCCAGCACCGACCTATCAAAGGCAAATTGGGTTTTGCGGCCGGGCTTGTTTACAACTCTCCTTTTTGGCAAACGTGTGCCGCTGCTCAGCCGAGTGACCCAAGCATTCATACATATGGGTACACGAGGTCCCTTCGTTCTGGGTGCGTCTGGGTGACGGGATCAAGAAAGATTCAACCACAAAGATCAAAACAAATTAGATTAGGATCAACAAAATCAAACCAGTACTGTAGCAACAGGGCTACAGCAAAACCTGAGGGCGAGGGATCAACAAACACTAAAGTTGTATCAAAAATATTTAAACTGGTCGCGGCAGGCCCGTAGTATTTACACAGGAAAACCTCGAGCTTCGCTATGCTTTCATAGGAAAACCTTTATTTTCTATATATTTTACTAGCAAACGCTTCTATTGTCGGTGCCGGGGTCACGTAATTAGCCACCAAAAGCCGGGGTCACTTTGCCACTGCGAGTCCACACCGTTTTGGGTCTCGAACCAAATTTCGGGGTCAATTGGCCACCGGATTCAACTTTGGGGTTCAAGCTTTCAGCTTCAAACTTCTTCGGATGCATCAGATATCTTAAACACGCCCCCTCATTTGGCGATTCCGGTTCCTCATATGTCTTAAGCACGCCCCCTTAGTTGGCGATTCCGGTTCATCATATATCTGAGTCTTAAACATACGCCCTCATTTCGCGATTCGGATTCATCATATAGCTTAAACACGCCCCCTCGTTTGGCGATTCCGGTCCATCACGTACATTAAACATGCCCCCTCATCTGGCGACTCCGGTTCATCATGTACATTAAACACACCCCCTTAGTTGGCGATCATCACATCTCTACAACTCGGAAGCACACATGTCGCGGGCTAGCCCCAATCTTATCTCTATCTCATCTATCAATACTTATCTTTCAGCCGGTGCTGAAGGCGATTCCATCGTCCGCGGTATTTCTCCCAAAGTCAAACCTCAAGTAAGCCGACGCCAAAAAATGAATTGCGAACGAAATGTGCAAAGTGCAAAAACCCACATGAAAAAGCCGCAGGGCCGTTGCTGAGTGCCTTGAGCCTCCAAGTTGTTTTTTCAACCCTTTTGGTCCAAGCACGAAACAATCCAGGCCAGCACAAAAGCCCTGGGGCCCTGTTTTTTTTGGGTTTGGGGTATTGCAGCCCTGTCTCCACGCCTGTGTTCGGCGAGCCAAATCCTTGAAGACGGCGTCCCGATGCGGTCTGTCCTGGGAAGGTCCGCGCATCAGAAGCGATGAGCCTCGAAGCCATCAGCAGCCCTGGCTTCGGCCCGAGCCTTCGCCCATGACCTGACACCTCAGCACAAAAGCTACCACCGCTTTGAAATTAAAGTCCGGGTTTAGGGCTTATGGAGTTCAAGCTTTGGGTTTTCGGGTTTACGTTTTATAGAGTATAGGCTTAGGGCTTATGGGATTTCGGGTTTAGGGGGCCTCTTGTTTAGAGAGCAGATATGAGCATTGAGCAGAGCCACATCAGAACCAATCCTGGCAGTAGGACCAAGCTCGTCTGCATCCTGGGTCAAAAATCGAAGCAACTTTCGGCTTAGGTCTCCAGTGGTTTAGGGTATTTAGGAATTGACGGGTTTCGGGTTTCGGGGTTTAAGGTTCAAAAGAAGAGGAAATCCTTCTGCGGCGAAGTCGCGTGCTAGGGATGGCGGCGGAGAACTGCAAAAGCACACCTGCCTGGCAAAACTGTGGTGGTGATAGTAGTGGTGGGGAGTAGTAGTAGTCGTAATAGCAGTAGTAGCAGTAGTAGTAGTAGCAGCAGCAGTAGCAGCAGGCGGAGTAGGAGTAGGAGTAGCAATAGTAGTAGTAGTAGTAGTAGTAGTAGTAGTAGTAGTAGTAGTAGTAGCAGCAGCAGCAGTAGCAGCAGGCGGAGTAGGAGTAGGAGTAGTAGTAGTAGTAGTAGTAGTAGTAGTAGTAGTAGTAGTAGTAGTAGTAGTAGTAGTAGTTTCACTCGAGTCACTAGAAGAGTCCACGATGCGGGCAGGAAAAGCCGTTGCTCCAGCCCATTTGCGACTGCGACCCCGCCAACCAGCCATTGCAGGACCACCCCGACGAGTGCTCTTGCGAGCGGAATCAACTTCGGGCCAGCGCCCGACAGCGAACGTGCCATGACCCCGGCCGCCCTCGCGAAAACTCCTTACTAGTAGGACGCGGAGCGGTGCACAGAGGCGGGCACCGTCGTCAAGGAGCCCGCCCAAGTTGCAGAAAGCCTGGGTCGAATGCAGCTGTTGCCGTTGCTGTCATTGCTGTTGCATTGCTTGACTTGGGATCAGACTCCTTCATTTGCCAGAACCTGGGCCAAGGCTTAAACAAAATCCGGGTCGGGCATTAACACAAGCAGGCACAAGGCGATCTGTGGTGTGGTGTCCTCAACGGCAGTCCAAGGCACAGCTTCGCAACCTCAACCTGGGCCGTTCTTGGTTGCCATTGAACAATCTTATTCGTGCCTACCATTTTTTACGATTTTCCTCTACTCAACCAAGAAATAAAGTTCAAGAGCTGTCTAGCAACTACGCGCTCCCCCTTCGGGGTGCTTTCCTGCGCTTGGTCCCATGGGCATGGGCACTGCTGCCACACGGGCAGGAAGGCACCAGATGGACCTCTAAGCGCAGGGAGTTTCAGGAAACGAGGTACCTCATGAGAAGGATCCCTAAATCAAGTACAAGGATCCCCAAATCAGGTTTCCTTATTGTAATGATTCCTGAGCAAGGTATCCTTATCATATGATGGAACCCTTGAAAATACGATCCGTTTTATCAGGATGCCCAATTAAGGGATCCGAACTTTAAGGATCCCCAGATGAAGTGCTCTAGTTTTCTGACTCCTAGCTGTAAGATGAGGCGAAGGTTCAGCAGTACTCGAGACAAGCCAGTCGTCAAGCGGGGGAGGAGGAATTAAAGCATTGAGTTAAGATCTTAGGGCTGTAGGGTTATAGGGTTTTTGAAGGATTTTAGGGTTGCAGGGCGTTTTAAGGGTTCTAGGGTGCTTTAAGGCTTCAGGTTTAGGGCTCTCAGGTGCACGGGATCGTCGGCGAAAGGGCTATCGTCGCAAAGATCTGAGGCCGACACAAGCCTTGGTATTCAGGCCAGGCCCACAGTCTCCGGAAGCACGGCAGCCTGCAGCAGAGTAGCAGAAACATCTGAAATCTCCGTGCCGTGTCTTGGAAACGCCAGGCGACTCGTTCGTTTGAAGATCGAGGAATCCGCCAAAAAGATCCTGGGCCGATTATGCAGCAAGGCTGGCTACAAAGGCGACGTCAAAGCATGCCATTGCATCCTTGCGTCTGTGTGCAGGTTTCATTGCCGGCTCGTAGCTGCTCACCAGAGCATGGCTCTGGGCACTCATTGGCAACGACGCCTCGTCTGTGGCAGGTCGCCCCTTATCCACATGCTAGGGCCAGGGCCCGTCACAGGTGCACGTCAAGTCCAAGTCTCCGCTGACTTTAGGAGTGCAGATGGTGCGGCTCGAATCCTCATCGGTCAAAATGGAACGACTGTTCTCCGGTGCCAGACTTTCGCAGCAACAGCCGCCACTACCGCTTCCAGAAACAGCTCAGCTCGCATCCATGGGATCCGGGCAGGACAGCCTCAAGAAAAAGATGTGCTATCCCAGCACTACAGAGATACCGGTGTGCTGCTGCATGAAAACAAAGCTCTGAATTGAGGCGGGTGGCGCATTCTTGCCGCAGGGGCATCTCAGCTCTGGATCGATGCAGAGCACCGCCGTGGAAGACTCCGGCGTCCCTGCAAAGAGAATAGGATTTTGGGTATGGGGTTTAAGGCTTTAGCGTTCAGGTTCCGGTCCTCTTGCCCTCCTGATTCCCGTGCACACACAACACTCTACTCGGAAACCTGATACGCCCGAATTACTTACATGCCCGGTGTGTACTAGACACGTGGACGTGAAAGTGGACGGGCCACCTGTGGGGGTGTAGTCGGTGATCTCGCAAGCTTTCTGCCTATGCTGCCGCATCTGGTTCATGAATGCTGCAGCCAGGATGTTCCATTGCAGATGAGACGCCAGGAAGCACAAGGGCAGATCGCCATCTGAGACCTGGGCTGCGGCTTAGGGTTTAGGCTTGAGAGTTTAAGGTTTAGGCTTTAAGGTTTAGGGGCTAGCGTTTAGAGTTTAGAGCGGCTGTTCGGGTTTAGGGTTGAAGCTTTAGGGCTTGAGGTCAACTCTCCTTAAAGGGGGCTGCCCTGGCAGGTATTTCGAAAAATCGTTTCGTTACTGCAGAACATCGTTCCGGTATCAACATCTCTTTGCCTTTCCTACGCTAGTTTCCTTTCTAGATTCTTCCCAGCAATAAGGAACCCCAGATCACCCGAATGCTTCCCAGAGCCTCCCCAAGCCCTCGAGCACGCAACCTGTCTAAGCAAATTCAACAGACATTCCGATTTGCTCAAGCCTCTTTTGCTGCAAGCCCACAAAATGCGGCACTGGCCCACACGGGAGAAGCCCTAACACTCCCCATCTCATACATTCTGCAGTGGTGGCGGAACGGCACATTGGGTCAATCCGGACAAGGCGCGGCAGCATGCACAGGTCGGATCCCGGGCAGCGCCAGGTGTTCAGCCCGCAAGGGCACGGCAAGTCTGCGTCCAAACAGATGTCTCGATAGCCTCGGCCAGGAAGGTCGAAACGGAGGGAGGCTCGGAAGCTAGACATGTGCTCATGGCTCCGAAGAGCGCTGGTCCGGGGCCCGGCACTGACGAAGATTCCATCGGAAGTGTAATCCAGCAGGGAGCAGAGCTTTTGCTGTTCGGTGCACAGCAATGGGCAATCGGCGTCCTGCAGTCGGATGTGCCGCAATTCTGCAGGTTCTGCCAAGAAGATACAGAAACTCTCCCCGACACTGCATACACAATTTGCAGTAAACCAGGTTCTACTTGCATATGCACAAACACGTACAAGCACCTATCTTCTGCTGCTGAATAAAGCAAGATGTTGCTTAATCTTCCGTTCACTCTGAAGAGTTCGTGGCCGAGCCTTGAAGATGCAGCCCAGCGAATCGCACCACTTGGCTTCGTGCCCGCAGGAGCACTCCCGGGTGCTGTTGGCACACTCACGGCTGGGAAGCGATTGACCTTCGTAGCGATGGGAAAAGGTGAACGTTCCTAGAAAAAAAGCCTGCGAGGAGACGACAATTTCTTGATGCGGGTTTTGGCTTCATGACTCCTGACATGATGTCTGCCTTTACGTCTCGTAGACTTACGCCCATCAGGCGACGTGCGCCTCCAGTCCGGCAGAAGCAAAGGACATAGGACTCATACTGATATACCGGTGAAAGCCCCGGCGGGCTGGGCAACGCATGACACGATGATGATGTGTGCTGATTGGAGTCCCTTACCTTGCAGTGGAGATCATGTGCTGGGCAAGAGCAGGCTTACCAATCCAAATCAACGGCGGGTATGCGCAGCATCCATCAGCGATTGAACTTACATAAACGGGATCCTTACGACCTTACGAGCTTTGTGGTGAGAATGTTCTGGGCCCCGGCATATCTATCTCACTATGTTTCGATGGATTATGTTTCGATGGACTGACTGGTTTCTTGGCTCTCTTTCTCCATAGCATCAAACAAGCACTAAGGCAACGAGCTCCTCTGCAAAAATATTCGGCACACCCCATTGATCCCAGCTAGCCTTGCTGGTTACAAGGACGAACACGAAAACACGGCAGAGCAACGGTTGCAGCTTCGGTCATTTTCGTCCGGCTCGGTGCACTCTCGGCATCGGTGGCCTTTCACGACGATGTGGGCGCCCCTTTGTGCTTGGACTTTGTGCTTGAAGTTGTTCTCCTGATTGCCAGCGTGGTCTGCTCTGCTCTCTTTGCCTTTGTTTTTGCTCTCGCCCTTGTGGTTGAAGCTGTTCTCATGATGAGGTCCACTGTGCTCCTTTGAATGTTGGGTCGCTGCTCGTCTTGCCAGCAACCACCCGGACTTGGAAATCAGGGGGCTCGCTGCTAGTGTTTCGGCCGTTGCCTTCCCTGCGGCTTTGACAGCACCAGCATGTTGTGGCATTGCACCCGCAAGCAAAAACATGCTGATGAAAAGGCGGCGGGAAGGCTCTCGCGGCACGCATGTGGACGAGCAGATTGATCACAACATCGTTTTCGCAGTTGAGTTATGCGAGCCAGTTCGGTTGCGTCTCCAAGCGAAAGTGAGCAACAGGAGTTCATTAAAAAATCACAGACACTAAAGCACACTGAAATCGATCAAGGATCTGATCTCAGCACCATCTGGACGAAAGTTGGTGACCAGCGGGCAATGGACGCCGCCAGCGCAGTTCGACACAGGGCAGCAGTGGCCTGTGCAAAGGTGTCTATATATATATATATATACATATACACCTACACACAATATATAGTTATATGCATATACATATGAATATACGTTCACATAAACACATATAGCAACATGTTTACATCTTTACACATATGTATATGGATATACGGACATATGGATGTGTGAATGTAAGAACAAATGAACATATGCATCTATGAACACATGTAAATTTGTGTACATATATATAGTGTGTGTATGTATATGTATCTGCATACAAACAGATGTCTATCTATCTCTCTATCTTTCTATCTATCTCTCTCTCTATATATATATGTGTATACCTATGTTCATTTGTGTATACATGTATGTATGCGTGCATCTATGTATTTATGTTAATACACATATACACATATATATATATATACACATGTCTATATGTTTCTGTATATATGTATGTATGTTCATATGTATATATACATATATGTATATACGTACATATGTGCATATGTGTATATGTATACATGTACAAGTGCTTCCATATATATATATATATATGTGTGTATATATGCTTATATGTGATTGTGTGTATATCTTTATATATGGCACGTCCAAACAAACCGGCTGACCTGCTGCCCTTGGCTTCTTGTGGCCGACGGTGTCTGACTCTGCATGTTTCGCATATGGCCCTCTTCTCAAAGTCTACTCCCTTAAATGCCCTCATTGGTTCTGCCCCTGGTGGCTGGATGCGTGGATCGTGCAGGGTGTATCACGCATCTTTGGGATTTGAACGCGTGCGCCCTGAATATTAATGTGGACGTTCTGGTGAAATCCAAGTAAACAGGACGTCATTCCTCCCTTTCTTTTGCTCTCATGAAGTTATAAGCAGTCTCTGTCAACACGTGCCTTTCCTCTTGCAACTCCTGCTCAAATACCCCTAACTGAAGGAGTCTATCTTGTCTAAATATAGGGTACATGACATTGTGACTCAAAGTGTTCTCAAACTACAAAACACCAAGCACAAGAGAAACTGTGCCTCCAACAGCTGGGAGGCATTCTGAGCTGCCGTCCTCGCAGTCGTTCGGTTGAGGGTTTAGGGCGGAGGCGGTGGGGGGTTTGAGGGTTTAGGCTTCAAGGTGTAGAAAAGGTTTAGGGTTTCGGACTCTCTCGATTTTCAACTCTGCGAAGTCTGCAGCTGCCAAGAAGCTTCGCGAACGCAATTGAAGGCTCCCTGCCCACAGCCGCAGGAATCGCCCCTCGGCACCTCGGCTGACGGCTGACCACGTCCCTGTCCTCTGCAAGTCGGCCTTAACAATAACATATAAGGGATATTTATACGACAATCAGGGGTACCCTTATTTTGGAGTCCTTCTAATAGGATCCTACTACTATTTAGGATACTGTATTCCGGTCCCCCATTTTCGTGCCGTTTTTTCGAGAGTTTTCCGCCAAGGCTCGCAGACCTCTTCTGTAGTCAGGTGTTCACCTTGCTCGTCGAAGCCTCAGGGCCGCATGAGGGGCTGATCTAAGTTCTGATCTCTTGAAAGAGGCCCTATGTTGTACAGGGTCCCTTTTAATTTGAGTCCCTGCAATAGTATACTCCTCCTTCTCAATACAGCATACCAGAATTGGGCCCTGAAGTTTTGAGAACTCTCACTAAAGTTTGGACATCTGCCAGCATTGCTTCCAAGACACTTGGGCGGAGGCACAACTTCTCTTCGCTGGCACAAGTCACGGGGCAAGGGAAGTTACCTCAGTGCCACGTGAACAACCATAAATAAATGTTCAAGATTTGCCGATGCGGTCAGCCTCACTAAGTCTCGGTTCTTTTTCAAACAAGGACCCATTTGGGATGGGGGGAATGTTTAAATTAGGATCCCTCCGAGGTTCTCGAGAAGAAGGCGTCACGCTGGTAGTGCGCAGCCCCTCCAAAAAGGGACTCTAATTTAGAAAACTACCCATAGACGTCCCGTAAGGTTACGAGGGGGGTCGGGACGAATTTGCGCATGCAGGCTGCGATCTTTCGGCCTAGCACCAGGAACGAAGAGGCTTAGGAGGTGTCTTCCTTCATTACTACTGCGAGACTCATGGAATTAGCATTGGCTCTTTCGTTAACGATTGCTTTGGGAAATTGGAAAGACTGCATTCACTCGAGCAAAACCGAATGCCGACTCCGCAACGCTGCACACGCAACACACCGGTTTGAGAGACGCAAAGCATCACGGGCCATGGCACCTGGCACGCAGAAGTCCTGTCTCACCGTCTGACAGATCATGAGCACGAGAAGCTCAGGAAATTGGGTGCAAAGCTCCGCAAATGACAAATCCGTGCAGGACGATAGATCTACATATCGATGCAAAGGATGGTCCTGGCACCGGAAAGCGAAGTCTCCGCAGGGACAAGCTTCGCTCTCGTTCGCACAGGTCTGCCGCACACCCACCAACTCGCCAGTGCTGCTGTTGTAGTCCTCGGCTGCAAACCTTAAGCCCAATCTGCACCCTTACGTTTCTGTTGTCCATTGCTTCTTGGAGGTTTCCGGCCCCAGGGTTGGGAAGGCAGGGCTTTCCGAACCGAGGCACTGCGATGTTGCAGACCTGCGGGAACTCAAGGGGCCGAGAGGAGTTGAGAGAGACAGAGAGAGAGAGAGAGAGAGAGAGAGAGAGAGAAAAAAATCGGAAAGAGCAAAGAGAACAGAGAAAAGATAAACAGGCAGCGGGAATACGGGCAAGCCACGGGGACAAGAGGAGAAAGCGGTGAGCAGGGAGGGGTTTAAACAGGAGGCTGCTGTGTGCCTTTGAGCAGTTGAGCGGACAGTCGGTGGCGGTCGCAAAGCATTGGAGCCTCCCGTGAATTGTCAGGGAGTCGCGGAAGCTTCAGGCACACAACCCATTGCACCCGCCCTGGGCACGGCTGCTGAGCCCGCGGCCCATCGGAGTCCTAAGCCGTAGAAGATGAAAGCAGTTTCCAATTCCATTCTGCGAGCTGTCAGCTCCCAAAACTCCAGCCAGGCAGCCATCCAATCGCAAGCCCGCGCATTCTCCCCGCACGGGCAAGGCCTCTGCAGCCGGCACCCCGGTCGGCCACTGCAATGCATTTTCCATGCATTGCTATGCTCAGGCCCAGGCGTGGAACGCTCGGTGCACTGGGGCTCTAGACCCGCGAGCGCACCTGAGGCGGACAGGATCTCTGACGTCGTGCAGGAGCCCAAGCCTCTGAAATCTAGGGCCGCGGACCTTCTACTGTGAAGGATGCCGACAGGCAGAGCCGGTGGCTGG